CAAGGACTTGTAACAAATTGAATTTAAGAACAACGACTTTAACTTTAGGAACAAGGACTTACAAAAAATTAACTTTAGGAACAAGGACTTATAACAAATTAACTTTAGGAACAAGGACTTACAAAAAATTAACTTTAGGAACAAGGACTTACCACAAATTAACTTTAGGAACAAGGACTTGTAACAAATTGAATTTAAGAACAACGACTTTAGGAACAAGGACTTACAACAAATTACCTTTAGGAACAAGGACTTACAACAAAGTAACTTTAGGAACAAGGACTTACAAAAAATTAACTTTAGGAACAAGGACTTGCAACGAATTGAATTTAAGAACAACGACTTACAACAAATTAACTTTAGGAACAAGGACTTGCAACAAATTGAATTTAAGAACAACGACTTACAACAAATTGACTTTAAGAACAAGGACTTACAACAAATTAACTTTAGGAACAAGGACTCGCAACAAATTGACAGTCTGAAATTGACCTATACGGAGAAGGTTTTTCACTCAAATTGACCTTAGAGCAAGGTCTTACAACGAATTGACCTCAGGGCAAGATCTTACAACAAAATGACTTTCAAGCAAGGTCATACAACGAATTGACCTTAGGAACGAGATTTTTCAATAGTTTGTCATTCCGAAGAATTGTTTTTGCATAACGATTAATGTGCTAAGGACTTTTAAGTACATGTATTAAAGAATGTTAAAAAAGCATAAGTCATTTATTTTGGAGATTTGAACATTCCCGGACCAAACTAATTTAAGTTATCATAATGAAAGAATTTTAAAGACACGAAAAAAGAACCCTCTGTGTATTGTCGTAATGAGTAGGCGTGATAACAAAACCAAAACTCACTAGAGTAGGCTAGGGTAACAGGACAGCCTGGATGTGGTAGACACGCTCTCCTACTTCCGTGCCGTACTATACATCTTGATGCGATGCGGCATTTACCAACTGTTCGGACCAAGGAATCGTCTTCCAAATTTCTTATCTTAAATATGGGTTGAGTCAAGCAGGCGAAAAATCCGTCAACAAGCCAATATATCCAATTATAATAGGAGGACAGCGAGGACAACACTAATAAATCTAGTACCTGTAACGGAGCGAGATCGTGTTATCTCAGTCGAGGGTTAAGATTATGTAATAAAAACCCAACCGAGGCGTAATCCAGAGATTTTTCAGAGATTTTTATTATCACTCAGGCACACTATTGTGCGCAACAAGAGGTCATCATAAAGTACACTATAACAATGATATATGGTTGGCCGTAAAGCACTCATCTTACTATGCTAGCGTACAATAATATAGTGGAAACTATTACACTCCCAATACAATGATAAACACAGTATTACACTGTTCATACGTACTATCATACCTTGTTATAATAGACAATATAACGCACTGCTCATACAATGACACTCATCATACACTGTGATATACATTATTACACTCATTTTACAATACTACAATTGTATTACGATGGTATAATACATAGCATTACATTCACACATACCGTGCGTTAGTGGTATAACAGGCACTGTTGCACCCATCTTACAGTACAATCATACAATAATATTATTACAGTATTACATATATATTACTCGCACTCCATGATACATGTATTATAGATAGTATACCACACCATACAGTGCAATCATACCATGGCATAATAGTCACTATCATACTCACCATACCATATAATATTACAAAGGTATAATAGACAGTGTTACAATCCTATCATACAATACTGTAATAGGCAGATACAAATACCTTCAATCAGGGATATAACAAACAAACCATAATAAACAAGCTGTAACCACACTCATTATACAATACAATTATGTTAGGTTTAACAAAATAATCAGTACTATCTATATGTATACAAATCCGAGGTTGATATGTTACCGAATCTTAGCCCGAGACTGAGATAACACGATCTCGCTTAGTTACAGGTAATTGTTTTTTTTCTTGCACCTTTTAGTTCGAACAAAAATATTCAATTTTGCTAAAAACTACAAGTATCCCGTCCGGGGCCTCAATATGAGTATGACCTCTTCATAACTTAAGCTACATTTGAATGCCTCCTCGTAAAAATATAGTCCGTCCTTACAAAGAAGACAACGTATTTCACAGTGTAGATTATATACATATCTGCAACATCAAATATCTAACAACGTAAAAACTATACATATGACATGTACATATAGGAGAATTCTATAGGTATGCAAGGTGAGACGACACCGGGCCGTCCTACCTCAGAGCGTGACCTGGTTTGACTAGGACTTTTTGAATTTCAGAGGGCCTGGTAAGCGGCAACTTACCCCACCAAAGACCTCGTCAATGAAGGAAGACGAAAAACCCGTAACCAACCAACTAACAAACCAACCAAAATATATCCGAATATAAGCCGACACACCCAATGAATTCGAACATGAACCTTAAAAGGCAGGCTGACCAAGCCACAAGCCACAAGTTTCCAGTTTTATTCGAACTTTAGGCCATTGGCCCATCAGTATACAATACACATTATACACAAATCATGGAAAATGTACAGAGAATGAAGACAATCATATTCCATTATAATACCCTTAATTTGTTTGCCACATAGATGAGCTTTCCTAGTATACACAATTCTTTAATATTATGGACACTCAATAACTGAAAGGCTTTAAACACAGATGTTTTTTTTTCTTCCAATAATAGCTTATGATAAAACGTGATCTGAGATTTTGGAATTTAGAACAGACTAATAAAAACTGAAATTCGTCCTCTACTTCAGAGGGGGAGTTACACTGTTTACAATATCTCCGTTCTATATGTATATTATTATACCTTCCAACTTCTACAGCAAAAGGATGTGTAGATGTACGGATTCGAGTTAAACAAATGCGATATTTCATTGGTATATATTTTGTGAGGTAAAATTGTAATGATTCTCTAAAATCAATGATATTTTTATACAATAAACATGAACTTTGTCCGCGTAATTTCCTCGGTCAGCCGATAATAGCACACAGGTTATTGGATGAATCTACAATTGTAGATGAAAAGATTTAGTACTTGGATATTAAAAGGTTAAAAGATACATGCATGACAAACACTATTTCTCTGGACTCCTGGACAGTTAGAAAAAGGCAGAGACGTATGTTCTACATGTCTACTACATGGTTTTATATATCCAAAAGTTTACAATCATCTTTGTAAAATTTCCTGATATATATCATTTTAACCTTTCGTGTCATACATTATTTTCCTTCCTTTTACCGAGTTAATGCCAAAGGGTAAAATATCCTTATTAAGAGTTAATTTTATTTATCTTTATTTTCTATTTCACGTAGTGTATTTAATTTAGATATTGGAAGGTACATGAATAGACGGGAGACTTGTGTTGATGATTTGAACATCTAGAATCTGTACCCCTTATCATCATCATCATCATCATCATCATCATCATCACCATCATCATCATCATCATCATCATCATCATCATCATCATCATCATCATCATCATCATCATCATCATCATCATCATCATCATCATCATCTTCATCGTCATCATCATCATCATCATCATCATCATCATCATCATCATCATCATCATCATCATCATCATCATCATCATCATCATCATCATCTCATCATCATCATCTTCCTGGACAGAAGCTGACCCTAAGGGGTGTACTGCTCCAGCTACATGGTTGCCATGCCAATGTATGAGTGTGTGAGCGGGGCTTTTTAAAGTACATTTAATCTAACATTTACATTGACCTCGTCCGGGAATGATGAACTGCGGTCTCACGCGCAGCAGGATCGTAATGACAAGGACAGTTTTCATTGTAATAGGCAGTGGTTCTGATAGTCGGGATGTGTACTGGACAGGTCAGACTGACATCACACCAGTGTACACGGAAATACAGGCTAGACTGACATCAACATCACACCAGTGTACACGAAAAATTTAATACAGGTCAGACCGACATTAACATCACAACAGTATGCACGGAAATACACGTCAGACTTGCATTAACATCACACCAGTATACACGGAAATACAGGTCAGACTGACATTAACATCACACCAGTATACACGGAAATACAGGTCAGACTGACATTATCATCACACCAGTGTACACGAAAATACAGGTCAGAACAACATTAACATCACACCAGTGTACACGGAAATACAGGTCAGACTGACATTAACATCACACCAGTGTACACGGAAATACAGGTCAGAACAACATTGACATCACACCAGTGTACACGAAAATACAGGTCAGACTTACATTAACATCACACCAGTACACACGGAAATACAGGTCAGACTGACATTAACATCACACCAGTGTACACGAAAATACAGGTCAGACTTACATTAACATCACACCAGTGTACACGGAAATACAGGTCAGACTGACATTATCATCACACCAGTGTACACGAAAATACAGGGCAGACCGACATTAACATCACACCAGTGTACACGGAAATACAGGTCAGACTGACATTAACATCACACCAGTGTACACGGAAATACAGGTCAGACTGACAAATCCCAACCGAATTTTCACAATAACAGGAAGTTATTTTACTAATAATGAGTTGGCGTCCATATTTTAACATCAGGGTTATACTGCAAGCAAATTAAGATCCATTGTATATGGCTGTCGTCATGGTAACTAAGTAAGGTATAATTTGTGATCGTACAGGTAGTCTTTCTCAGGTCTAACTAAAATCCGGGTGACGTAATGAGGCGTTGTTACTGCCCAATCAGTCGGACGAGCACTTGGTGCCTGGAGCGACTCATGGAAGGCCTGGACAATACAATACCAGGGTATCGTACCCACAGATTTAGTGGTAGGGATTATCCATACAAAAGGTACCTAGGGATTAGCTGTGGTAGTCACAGTCCTGTTTTATATGAAGCGTGCATATACCCCACTTCAAACGTTGACGTTAAGAACGTGAACAGATATATATTTCTGCACACACATGACTTTGTGATCTTGTAAATGAGACGTACCAGCGACGTCATAGCAGTGGGTCGACTCTATCATAGAAGGTAAGAGGGACGAACTATTTTATTAAGTCATTTACTTAGTAGTAATTCCAGACCAGCTTGATTTTTTAAAAATTTATATCAATTGATTTGATGATTTTAATATTTGTATGTTTCTCTGTTTCTCACACGATTGTTTAAAAGTGTTTTGTTCCTAATATGAATTATACCACCTGGACGTTCAGGGAGGGGGTAATGCAGGGTAAATGGTTGATACAGGGGACTAGGATTGATATGGGGGACCCGGTTAACGTTGACATGTGTCTGATATAAAAAAAAAGAAAAAAAAAAAAGGTGATATTAAAAGCAAATCGAGGTACAGTAGTACAGGGGTCGAGGGAAAATGGGAGAAGTAATACCTGTCTACGTTCTGTAAAAACTTGGAACTGTTGAGGCCACAGTAGCGGACACTCTACAGCTGGCGTATAACAGGGTCCCTCTAATCTAATTCCGTGTGGTCTAATAATAAGGGGTAAAGAGCTCAAGGCTTTCCTTCAGACTCCATTGTCTGTTTATATAGTACCACACATACGCAAAAGTTTATATAGAACGGAAAAACTAAAGTTTTCTCATGTAAGTATATAAATTTTGAATATCTGAACTAAAGGGGTGTTAAATTTATGTAACGCAAGGATATTTTATTCAATAACGCCTTAACTTAAAGACGATCCATACTTTCTTTCTTACCAATGTTCGTCACATTATGTCACCGGATTAGTTTAATAACTCACCTAGGGGACGTTAACCAGAGGTAATTGATATCTACAATTAGTGACACCTGCCACTAATTATAAATCTCAGGTGATTTACCTGTATTGTACCACGGACTTAGATAGCTATTTTAATTCCGTTCTAGTCCTATATTAGCCAAAAAGCCCTAAGGCTTATATAGGCACATACATATATATATATGCATATCGAATTTTATATACAATGTATAGATAAATATTTTTGGACGAGACCAAATGTAATGTAGTTTTATGAAATAATGAATATTAATATAAAACACTGAAGAAACTTTGTACTTTTATCAGAATAATTAATAACAATATTTGACCTCTTCGATACAAATGTGCATTTATTAAGAGACAGTACTGTGGACTACCACGGACTTATCTAAGTCCGTGTAGATAAGTCCGTGGTACTACCGACCACGAACACTACAGTTACTATATATTATATTGTAAATATGTTTCTATATACACTGTATTGTGAAAGAGAATAAAGTTGAATTGAATAAAGTTGAAATATAACATTCTCTAAACATAGAATAGACAGGATAGTGACATCACAGTATACATAAAACACCGTTCAATAATGTGCATATAACAATATTTAATTAACACGTTTTTTCATTTCTGGATTTTTTGAATTCCAAAGTTTTCCTACATGTAGATCTCTTTAAATTTAAATTTTACACAGCGGCTACAAGATTTTCAAAAACCCTAATAGAGAACCGTGGTGCTGGTCAAATTATTAACCTTCCCGACTACTGACCCACAATAGTGGTTTGTTTGAGTGGTTTTACGTCCCTTCACTACCGATCTAGTAGTGCGGGTATCCAGCAGACGAATTTCCCCTCTCTTGCCCCTTACCCCACAAGTGAATCCATTCGGAAAACCTCAGCCGATTCACTTCGGTCCTCATCCCTAAACGATGACGAAAATTACTGTAATCGGGACAAGGTGTTCCGAATGAAGTGAATCTGACGTGATATTATAGAACTTCGGTCATCCCTCGACCACAGCTGGTTATCAATTCTCCCCTGGGTCCAGAGGGTGTATCTCAATATCCATGATCGTATTACCTATGGCAGGTTACAGGGGAAGTGAACATAAACCTGTTCCTGGCACAGGTTTTTCCGGGTAACATCCAGGTGTTACATGGGCCTAAAGACAGCCAAGGGCTATATACCTTAAATTAGGATTAAAAGGGAAGCAGGATAACTCAAAGACAGGAACACTCGGTAAGCCAGATTGACTACATGTAGAACCTACAGAAATAACCTTACTATACAAGCCGTTGATTCATGTGTTATATCCCCTGTGTACATAAAACACACGATTTAATTAATCCTTAATCCTCTTCATATAAATCAGGTGATGAAATGTATATGCATAAAAAAATAGTCAATGATCAGCCACGCCCCCCCCCCCTCCCCTCTCCCATGTTTTCAACAAGTGATTCTATACTAAGTTGCTTTGAAGAAATTATTACAAAATGTGTGGAAAGTGGAATTGTGTTTGAAAGTATGTCGTGTCTAACACATTATGTGTTAGTTGTATTGGACGTATGTCGTGTATAGTTTGTATGTTGTATTGGACGTATGATGTTGTATAGTTTGTATGTTGTATTTAACGTATGATGTGTATAGTTTGTATGTTGTATTGGACGTATGATGTGTATAGTTTGTATGTTGTATTGGACCTATGACGTGTAAAACACAGTATTCGTAAGTTGTATTTGACGTATGATGTATATAGTTTGTATGTTGTATTGGACGTATGATGTTGTATAGTTTGTAGGTTGTATTGGCATGACATACGATGGGTTTTTATAATTCTGTACTATCAGTACTAATACTTGGATTGCCGTTCCATACATTCAATCATGTACATATCATTTTGAACATCTTTCTTTGTTTCAATTAACACTTCCACACTAAACCGACTAATCATAGAGCAGGGTTAAATTAAGTAAATTATGTATGGACATTGTCATGTATGACGTCACAATAGCCCGATAACTTTCCAGGTATACAGTAACTGTTTACGAAAGTTCATGTCTTTTAAAACAAATATGAAATAAATAGAATATTTCTGTTGTTTTGATGAATAACAGTCACATTTCATTCGTCGGTCGAACATTTTTCAAATTTATCCCTTTTTCTTTACACGCACGAAAAAATGTCAAAATATTAACAGTTGTGAAATATTGCTGGTACTGGTTTTCTTCTAGAGACCAAAAAAATCTATTGATATACCTATGTTTTACCTTGATAACCGTTCTATTCTTATAATGGCATTACTTTCAAAACCATTCTATACTACAATGTAACAATAATAATGTTAGTTTTGATTCTGAGAAAGCAAATCACATTAACATTTCTCTAATCTATTAAATTTGAAATCAGTAGATTACGTGAAGATTATCAGGTAAGCATAACATAACAGTTACAGGCGCTATGTTGTCGTTTAATATTGGTTAATACAGTTTAAATGAGATCAGAGTTTGCCAATGGGCCAATTATCATATAGCCTACTAAGCACACGTTTCTTTGTTTTTCAGAGCCATGCTTGTTTGAGGGTCCGAAAATGGCTGTAGCTATACTCTTCAGTAGCGCTAGATCACACCACCAACACTCGGCGTTTCCCGTCCAGAGACAATACAAGGATGATTTGATGCAAGGTCTGCAGTCGACGTTAGGTGTCTATCCACAATCTTGGCCAAACCCTTGGCTACAGGACCACGATATTACCCATAGTTCCACACAAGCTTCCAGTGAAACAAGCGTGTATTCGAACCTGACAAAAAGCGCACACCCGATTAAGACTGAAGCAGACTGTTACAATCACGTGCAAGTGAAAACGGAAACGTGTAGTTGTGATATCTGCAGTAGGTTGTTTGGTGGAGCTTGCCATTTACTTCAATTTGAAGAAAACATTCGTGGTGATACGTCTGTTGCTATGGAAACTGAATACAATCCAGAGGAGAACACACTTTTTACAAACACCACACCTCTAAGGTCAGACGACGAGCACTTATCCAAAGTAACATGTAAAGTTTGTGGAGAGAAGCTAGTAGAAGACCAAGATATTTGTAATATATCAAAGGAGCTATCTTTTTTGTCGCATGACGCGGACAAACATTCGAGTGAGACATTTTGCCTGACTTGCTTAATGAACAATGTAGTCACTTCTATCCATGAAAAATGCGACATGCTTGATGACGTCACAGATGGTATCGAGTACGAATGCTCTGTATGTATGGCAGTTTTCCAAAGTAGGACAGAAACTCACGAACATATGAATACACACGACAGGATCCAAAACCATGCGTGTCCGTTCTGTCAAAAACAATTTAGTAACGGGAAGCAGTTCTATTCACACTTCCTCACACATGATAAAGAACAAGAATTTACTTGTTGATTATGTCGAAAGGTGTTCACGTGTGAAAACAAATATCGGTCTCATGTTAAATCGCACACAGTGGCGGATGCTTCGAGTAAACTTCACGACGACGCAGGCACAGGTGATATAGACAAGTGCAAAAGTGCTAAAGACAATATGTACAGTACAACGTCATGTCAAGACATCAACGTCATCAGGAGTTGTGACGTCGGTGCTAGGTTGCAAAGTGGAGGCGATAGTAGTACCGATATTCTTTACACGGATCTAGTAGAGTCTGTCGATGCTTCGTCAAAGCGCGACTGTGATTCCAATATGGCGTCCGACGATTTACCAGCCGTTATCAGTTATTGTGAAGCATGTGATGCCGCATCGAGTAACGAAAGAGAGCAAGATATTAACTTAAAATCCTGCAGAGATCTGAGATTTAAAGCAAACTGTTCGAAACAGGATAGACTAGCAGGTTCAGTAGGAAGTTTAGGCGGGATCGTCTGTTTAGAGAATGACCGCATGGAGATCAGTAATTTTGGGAAGGCTCGAGTAGTGAAAGACCGCACCAAGACGGAAGAGGATGAATATAACCACATCGAGGCTACTAACGAGGAACAGGAAGAAAGAAAGAATGGCTTCATGAAGGCTAGTAGCAATGGAAAGAAAGGGACAGAAAGTGACCAAATCATAGATAACAGCGGAGATCAGGAAGGAGTAGATGATGCGCGAACTGAGATAGGTAACGAAGAGAAGGATAGTGAAAGGAATATCCAGATCAAACATAGTAGTGGCTCTCTTGGGGTTCAGCAGCAAGAACGTAACATATCTGACCAGAAACAAAATACGAGCAAACTGCGTGACATCAAAGATGGGTACGAAGGTCATGACGTCCTTCCTGAAGACATATGTATGACTGAAAATAGATCAAAGGAGTTCAACAAGCAAGTCGAGACGGAGAAAGAATCGGAAAAGGAAGTGTGGAATCTAAGCTGGAAGAAGTTCAATATTGATAAAAGTAAAAAGTTACACATTAGGAAAACACTTGTCATACCGAAAACACATCCTGTTTCTTTGACAAAGAGACAAACAGATGGCAGCAATAATGAGTTATTGATTGAGGAAGATCATCGCAAGTTTACACAACAAATAACGACGACAGCGGTTGAAGCGAAAAAACCTTCACATGACAAAAATTAGAAAAAGTCGTCACATGACAAAAATAAGAAAAAGCCTTCATATGACAAAAATAACAATTTAACTTCTGAAAAACATAAAAAATGGAACGATACTGAAAAAAATACGATACCTTCTGTTACAATCACAAGCTTTTGTAGTGGAAAAGACAGTAACGGAAACAAAACGTTTGTTTCGAATTTTCTGCTTGCAGAACAAAACCAAAATCAGTCATCATGGAAAAGGCATTCATCAAAACGAAAACGATTTAAATCAGATCAACGTTCAAAAAATATCAAGCGACCTGACTCATCCGATACGAAATCATGCAACTTAACAACAATGATCAAAAGAAGAAAATATTGTTCGTCAGTGACGTCTCGAGAACATCAATCTAGCAGCGGGTCTAGTCTGGGACGACCAGATAAGTTTCTCGAGGAGGAAAGCGATGCCTCCGATAAAGACAGGTTTTTTTCAAGTGTTCGCAATCCGCTATTGTTAGTCAAGGACTGTCAGTCTGAGTGGCAATCAGATAGAAAAGAGGAAGCATCCTCTGACAACGGGTCATCAAGTGAATCAACTAAGTCATCGGACTGCAATGTCGGCGGATCTGAGGACCTAGAAGATTTTTCAGGAAATCCTGATAGCTCCCCAAAACCTTTGAAATGTAAACACTGCTCGAAGACGTTCCGGCGTAGATTCAACCTCTCCCGTCATATGTTGATCCACGAGGGAAACGGACCGTACCAGTGTGACATATGCAATAAGAACTGTCAGAGCCGAGGAGACCTAGTGAAGCACCTGACCGTTCACACTGGTGACCATCCATTTCAGTGTGACATCTGTCAAAAGTCCTTCACACAAAAAGTCAATCTAAAGCGGCATATGGCTACACACCTGGACAAGGATAGGGATACACCGGAATCACTGACGAACTGTTTCCGGTGTGGTATTTGCGATAAAGGCTTTACACAGAAAACTCACATGGAACGGCATCGGCGTCTTCATACAGGGGAAAAGCGATACAAGTGTCATATATGTAGTGAGCAATTTTTCGAGAGTCATCATCTAAAGCGACACCTTATGAAACACGAAAACGGAAAAATCATGAAATGTACTGTCTGTAAAAAGAAATTTACTAGGCGCCTTGAGTACAGTCGCCACCTAAGAACACACAATCAGTTCAAGGACTACCGACTCTACACTTGTGATACATGTGACCGCGGTTATGATACCCGTCATGGTTTAGTTAAGCACATGTTGATCCATACTCGTGAGAAACCGTTTAATTGCACTGTTTGCAACAAGTCATTCAGGTGCAAAGATAGTTTTCGTGAGCATAATAAGGGTATTAAACATAAAAGCCGATTGTTGAAGTTCGAGAGACGACAATACAACTAGCAGTCGGAGGGAGGAAACCTGGTCTGCTAGGATGAGCAAGAACATAATTAGCTTGAGTAACGTGACAGTTGGAAGGGTAACCAAAGCATTAGTCGGAAGAAGGGAAGAGCGTTTGAAACGGGCGACTGGAACATTAGTTAGAAGGATGGATATCGTTTTACTAGAAGAGCAGTCAGAATGGTGTACGGAGTAAGGAAAACATGTTTGCAGTCGGGTGGAAGTATCTTATTTGACAGAAACAATCGACACGTAAATTGGAAATTGATGCGACAGATACAATCGAAACAGCAGTCGGAGGCAAAGAAGCTGGTTTAACAAGAACAGTCATGATTCAAGTCGGAAGAAGCTGAAAGCACAAACAGAACAATAAAGCAAACAGCACCGTTTGTGTTGACAATTTCAACAATTTTACATACCTAACTATGTATTGGATCGTTTGTACTGACACGAGCACTGATGTCAAATCCCTATGGTGTTAACTAAAGCTTGAAATAAAATGAAACATATTTCATCTATCAAAAATCATGAAGTGCTCACTCATTGGTTAAGATTGAGTCAAGATATTTGTAACCTCATAACGGAAATAATAATAAAAAGGACATTTGTCGATTTGAAAAGCTGTTTGAATGTAATATATATTTATATTGTGTATCGATATTTATAAACTAATATATATTAACTTGCGACCTAGCTGTGTATTGTTTTATTTGTAATGCTACAGAAAAGTAATATCATAATAAATTTCATTTACAGTTCCCAGTTTCATAATCAAGAAGTCAGTAAATCGAACCCTCGTATCTACCTCCGGTTCTGGTTACATAGTACGACCTTTGACAGCAACTTTCGAAAATATTTGTTCGAGGTATTTCCTTTATTTTGCTTCCAAATACATCTTGGAATTGTGGCGGAGTGCAGAGTATAAGTATAAGAAGGTCACTGAGGCCTATTCTTTCACCTTTGATCAAAACCTTTGAAAACAAGTTGTCCATGGCATATCTTTATACGTTTTTACATGTAATCATATTTGATCTGCAAGTTCACGTACAGTTACGTCTCTTGATGGCGGAATGCAGAGTACGAGAAGGAGGATGCGATGAATTATGCTTTGACTATAACTCTTGAAAATGTTTGGTATGCAAATATATCCTGAGGTGACCTCATTTATTCTACCAAAAACACGTTACTCTGATCTTCATTTTGACCTCTGTTGACAATCATCGATCGGTAAAATGTGCCCCTTTCCGTATCGAGATACTTTCTTTGCAATATGTTGATCCTGAGATAGATGTACAGCTCGGTAAAAAATGAAAGGCGCGGAAGAAATTGATGCTCTTCCTTGGAAATACATCACAGAGCGCTGGAACAACACTCTACCTTTTAGTATCAAATTATGGATAGGAAGTCGGGGGCCGCGATGGCCAAGTGGTTAAGGCGTCTGACATTCTGCTGCCACTAGCCCTCAACCACTGGGTCGTGGGTACGAGACCTACGTGGGGCAGTCGCCAGGTACTGACCACCGGTCGGTTGTTTTTTTTATCCGGGAACTCCGGCTTACCTCCACAACCAAAACCTGCACGGCTATTTTTAACTCGATACGTGTCCTGTCCTGCCTACACACATTCCTTGTACCTCCCCTTTATTGCGTCATACATTCCTTGTACCTCCCCTTTATTGCGTCATACATTCCTTTTTTTGGGGGAGGGATGACCTTGACCTCTGGAATGTATGACGCAATAAAGAGGAGTTTATACCCGTAAAAGGGGAGGGATGATGTAATGTATGCCGCAGTAAAGGGGATCGATGTAGAAGGAATGCATGACGCAATAAAGGGGAGGTATCCGCCATACTTCATATCAGATTCGAGCAGATTATTAGTCAGTTATCAAATGTGAGGACCGTATCAAAACATTTAAGGAGTGGCCACAACAAGTGCATCAGACTTCAAACCAGCTTGCATTTAACGGGTTTTTATAATCAGGACAAAGTGATAAAGTCACCTGTTTCATATGCGGAGTAAATTTAATAACAAAGAGTCGACATTGGGTGTATATATATGGAGACTACACCAATGGCTCAAGGGACTATTAATCGCATAGTCAACGAAAAAATCCCTCTGACAAGCATACCGCACAGTAAATTGTTGTCTAGGTATTAAGCAACTCTTTCCATCAAGAAGAACGGGCATGATATATAAGAATGGGAGGAGGGATAAAACGAAATTGGAGGGAATAGTTTTACTCAGAAATGTGTTACCTTCTTTGGTATAAACAATGTCAGGTAACTAAGATACCTGATCCTATACACAACAGCCACCATACACACACAGGTCACTACACAAGTCTACCCCAAATTTTATGGTGTATAGCGAATTGGGGAGATATCCCCTATCAATAAATATAAAAGTGAGAATGATCACTTTCTGGGCAAACCTTGAAGAAGTAGATTATATTAAAATATCCAATATTTTGTATAAATTACTATTTCACAAAATTGCAGAAGAAAATGGGGAAACTGGTTATTACATCCCCTGGATGAGATATGTGAAAAATATACTTGATGAGTGTGGATTATCCAATATATGGATATCACAAACATTTCCAAATATTTTGTGGTTAAAAAAACCTGCTGAACGAATTTTATTTTACCAAATTTTGCAAAATTGGGATTCTGACAAAAATGAATCCAGCAAAGGAATAAATTATAAATTATTTAAAGATGAACTAAAAATTGAAAATTATCTAAATATCCTGTCTACAAAAAATGCCATTATGTTCTGTAAATTTAGAACTGGCAATGCCAGACTTCCAATAGAAAGAGGAAGATGGTTAAATATAGAGGGAAGAAATAGAATATGCCATTTGTGTAATACTGAAGTTGGAGATGAATTTCATTATATGTTTAATTGTCCAAATGTTTCAAATAAAAGAAAATTGTATATTCCAAATTACTATAGCAGGCAACCAAACTGTTTAAAATTCCAGCAACTTTTTTCAACAAATAACAAAGTTTTACTAGTTAAAATATGCAAATATATTTATATAGTAATAGAGAGAGCCCGTTCTCCTGGCTAAAACAGCACGTACTCTAACTTGAATGTACCCATTGTATATTTTCTTAATATCACATGTATATTGTGGTTTAAAAGAATAAAATCTTGTCTTGTCTTGTCTTGTCTTGTCCCAACCAATCCAAACAACAAGATTAGTACATTGTATATACATCAAACCTGGGATTTCCATCTCTACCTACAGTACTGATTCATTATCAGTTCTCTAGAAGAGTCTACACTTAAATCTTCTCAGCCTGTCTGAGACAATTTCTCATTTTCGTCGTACAAGTCCAGTCAAATGTTTGGAACAATTTCTTTTTTGATTTCATATAATATATAGACTTCAAGAGACCCAGTTCTGTTGACTTTTTATAGAAAGTAAACTACAACATTTGTCTGATTCCAAGATGCCTTAAATGATCTAACTCAAATAATAGCTTTGCAAGTCAAGTGGAATAGTTGCCAGTCTTGTACTGTCTATATTGCAAGAAAAAAGGTCAACACAATATTTGTAAACATGTATGGAACTTTATAATCATCAAATAAAAACACAGTATTTGTGAAACAATTTCAATCAAGAAACTATATGGAAACAGGTTTTTACAGTCTGTGACGATTTGTTTTAGTATTCATGAAGATTTACAACAACGAAAGTCTTTTCAAGTTAAATTTTTAACAGGTATGAGTTAAATTAAAGTATTTTGTTAAAGAAATTGACGCAAAAGTACCTTGACAAACAACTTTTTATTAGAGATGTTATTCAAAAGTATACCTTTTTTAAAATAAAACCTCACTTCTTGCGGCACTTCTTGCGGCACCTGCGGCACCTGCTGATCGGAGAACATTATACTTCCGTCTTGATGAAAGTGTTTGCGTAATCATAAACTTAACGACCTGGTCACTAAGTGGGTCAGTCCCTCGTCCCTCACTGGTCCCTAACTGACCTGGTCAATAAGTGGATCAGTCTCTCGTCCCTCACTGGTCCCTCTCTGACCTGGTCACTAAGTGGGTTAGTCCCTCGTCCCTCACTGGTCCCTCACTGATCCATCCCGATAGTGAAGGAGTTTGGTATATTTAAAGAGGGAGGGATAAAGTGGCGCAGAATATATCACACCGAACCATTTCATCATCGTACTTTTATATATATAAATATTTAACTAAAGCAATACCTTAAAGCTCAATGTTATCCTACTGAGATAGTAGAACATGGTATACAGAAAGCTATTGAAAAGGGACCCTTAACTTCCCGTCTACAAAAACTAAAGGATGAATCAAAGTTAGTTCCTTTTGTTTCTACTTTCAATCCACGGAATTGTAATGTTTCCTGTGATAAAGAACAAATGTGAAGAGTTAAAGCAAAGTAGCAGGCGTATGAGAAACATTTTTAATAAACATGCTATTTTACATTGTAGACGCCAACCTAAGAACTTGAAACGTATGTTGACATGTACTTAGTTTAAGATGTGCCACATGTCCTATGATTATCGAGTGTAATACTTTTATTTTCAAGAATGGTTTGAAATTTACTGTGAATGTAAATATGAATTGTAAATCAAAAAATGTAATTTATGCAAATGTTGAGATTTTTACATCGGTCAAACCGGTAATGAACTCAGAACACGTATGACTGTACATATCAACAAATTAGAACTGATTCTTTACGAAATCTTCATGTTAACAAACATATTCATGAATGTGCTGGAGATAAATTTAATGTATTACATGTACCTTTGTATCAACTATTTTCATCAGACATTATTTTAAGAGAAACGAAAGAAGACCAACTAATCAAAATATTAAAACCAAGTCTCAACAGGCCACAGTAAAATTTTACGCTAACTTGTCCACCAATCTTGTGTACTTCGTGACGTCACGTTACTATTTTAGTGTGATGACATGTAATTGTGACGTCACGAAGTTGTTCTTTCGAATAAACCTGAAGAGCCCTGTGAAGGGTGAAAGCAGATAGTTTTTTTAGTCGGTCGTTAATCTAATTTTTTCTATATTTACTTCCTTCACATGGACATTTAATCCATTTTAATTATATTTAAAATTATATATTTAGTATATATTTTCATTATTGTTTGTATTTTTCTTTTTTTTCTTTTCGTTCCGTTGTTTTATTTCCCCCAAATTTTGTGTTTCTAATTTAATTACTTTTAATTAAAGTACAGATGTAAACACAAAACTTCATTAAACTGATAAGAGAAATATACAAAGAAATACCTTATTATTTACCGTTATAAATGATGAAACATAAATTACAACGTCATTAAATTGATTTCATAGCTTCAGTCAGTCTTTGACAACCAGTGTATCGTTTTGCTCTGGGGATGATATCAAAATGATTTTTAAAGAATGGAAGGCATGCAGTCGAGATTAAAGACGGAAGCTTTCTAATAACGCATGCATTATATGGAAGAATTACATGTACGATATTGCTGACATACGAAACAGCAACCAAATGTCACTTTATGAAAACATTTGAAAAGGGATATTCGTCCCGTGAATATTCCTTTTTACAGAAAAGGTTTGTCCCATGCTTGAGGGAATGTGTTTAGTCCCGTACCATCTGTACCGATCACATTCCGGTACTAAATTCAATATATATTTATATATATCTACTTATGTT